TATATATATATATATAATCACATTCACTCTCTTTATCTCTCCACAACCACTTCTATAAATCCTAATTGTCACACACACAACTTAAGAACCAATTTTGATGATATCCTACAATACCTTCCTTGTGAGATTAATATTTTTCTATAATATAACTCGATAGTTGTGCGCTTATAACTTTGGTTACTATTTAAACCCCTATCAAGTTTTTAGCGCCGTTATCAAGGAACGATGTTTATAAGTAGGATTTTTTTATTTTGGTTCTTTAATTTGTGTGTTTTCTTGTAAAGAAACCACTTTGAAGATTGAAGATTGAAGATTAAGGATTGGACATTGAAAATTGAAGATTTACTTGTGGTAACTCCTCTTTCTAGTATTTTTAATTCCACCCCTTTTAATTTGTTTATCACAATTAGAGACAATTATGATCTTATTTTTTTACTTTTGTCAACCCTATCCTCTTGGACATTTACTATCAAAATAATAAATTCAAATAAGAGCTCTCTTTCTCATATTTGTTTGATTGTTAACCCTAATTAAAAAATAAAAAAAAGATTTTATTTTTTCATCCTCTTGTAGTTGCTTTTAATCCTAGGGTTACATTGCATATAGTTAGTAGGAATTCACCAAAGTGATTTGAGCATTTTGATTTAACACACAGTTGAAAAACTAACGACAATACCCCCTAATCAAGATAAGGTGAGAGATTTTATCACCATATTCTTTACCCACAAATCATTAATTCCTCACTACACAAACCCAAGTTTTTTAAAACTCATTAGACATTGGCCCCAAAGGACTCGAGCTGACTAAGAAAGTGAACCGATTTAAGTTTACTTGAATCTGTTGGTATCTAAGACAGTATTTAGAGGTTTCATAAAGCACTCCACAAGAAAGGAGGTATTTAATTAATATTTGATCTCTCTTTAGTACTATCCTTATTTGACTAACTGATTGAGTAAACTTTAATCTTTTCACTAAATGAGTTTTTAGTTAGGAGCTGATCCAGTTGAGTCTAGGCTTAATTCTAAAATTAAGTGTGATTGATACAAAGTGATGCTCTTGATTTGTTTTAGTTAGATTTTTCTTATATCTTCCTCCTCCTTCTTATCTTTTAGGTCTTTTAGGTTTTCTCTTAGAAAAACTTGTGTTAGATTTTTTTCCCTCTAATTTTTTTCTTAACATTTTTTCTCTAAATATTTTATAAAAAATTCAAAAAGAATTTATTTTGTTGTATGCAATTTTAGATTAGGGATAATACCCATCATTTAATCTATGATGAACTATTTTTTGAAATTAAAGAAATGACTAACACCAATCCAGAAATGACTAACACCACTCCACCTGTTCTTCAAGATATGTGTTACCTAACTAGGAATGCAATCCCATTTTACATTAAGATACCCGATGTCAATGGAAACTACTTTTGAGCTTAGACTATATTTCATAAACACGCTTCTAAAATTCTTAGGAAATAAAACAGAAGACATTTACATTTTTATATCCAAGTTTGAGAAAGTTTATCTTATGATTAAGTTTAGGGAACAATCTGAGGATGCGATTAAGCTTAGATTTATTCATTTTGCTCTTAAGGACAAAGGTAAGAAATGACTGTATAGCTTACCTATAAATTCTATCTCAACTTGGGATGAATTTGTCACCATATTTTTAAAAAAATTTTCCCTATCCACAAAATAGTTAAGCTTAGGAATAACATTCATAACTTTAAGATAGTCCAGAAGAGCCATTCTAAAAGTATTTGATAGATTTAAGGATCTTCTTATCCAATGTCTTCACCACGGTGTAGAAAAATGGTGATTATGTCAAATCATATATGAAGACTTGGATTATTTTTTAAAAACTTCCTTCAAATCAATGTGTCAAGGGGATTTCATAAAAAAATTGCCGATAAAGCCTGAGAATTTTTAGAGAGTTTATCTAAAAAAACTATGTAATGGGAATACTGTGATGAAAGAATTTCATCAGTTATCAAACCCAAATCTATTGGTATGTCCTTAGAGTCAAACATAGCCTCTCAAGTAAAGATAGCTACAATTTTGCGTAGGTTAGAAACTTTAGAAATCAAAAACGAGCTCTAGCTCAAATCAATCAAGTTTCTGCCTCAGGTTGTCATAACTGCCTTTCTCCAGCCCATGTTTTAGAAGAATGTGCCCTTTTAGGAAACACTCAACCATTAGAGTAGATGAACGCTGCATTCCAGTATCCTAGAAATGATCTATTTTCTCCAACCTACAATCCAGAGAGGAGAAAGCATCCCAAATTTGCATGGAATTAGGTAGATTACTTTGGAAATTAAAACTTCACTCCCACTTCAAAACAATAATTTTCTAAAGGAAACACTGCTAAAAAATTAGGTATCCTAGACGGAAAATTCTGTCTAGGATACACAGAATTCCGTCTAGGATGCGTATCCTAGACGGAATTCCGTCTAGAATACCTGTCTAGGAAGTTTCCGTCTAGGATTTAGTATTCTAGACGGAAATTCCGTCTAGAATATATTGTAGACGGAATATTCTAGACGGAATTCAAAACCGTCTAGAATACATCCTAGACAGAATATTCTAGACGGAATTTCTGTCTAGAATAATTCATCCTAGACGAAAAAAATTTCCGTCTAGAATCTATTTTCTAGACGGAAATTTCCGTCTAGAATACTCATTCTAGACGGAAATTCATGTTTTTTAATTTTTTTTAAAAAATGTATCCTAGATGGAATTTGGGCATCCTAGACGGAATTTCCGTCTAGGGTATTGTGCTATAGTTTTTTTTTTTGCAGAATCTACTTTGGGTACATGTCAATGTTTTAAAATGTCTGATGTCGGGTTCATGTCGGTTGGCCAAAATTCATGTCGGATAGCGAAAATCGGGGATATATCGGGAGACATGAAAAAAAATATCAGATTGCCATATCGAATAGGTTGATATAATATCATAAATGGAATCTTCACATACTTGATAATTATATTGTATAAACATATGAAAAAGTACATAACTTATTGATGTTAGGATCACTAACCAATTGTAAACACCTGATTTCTGAGTCGGGTTTTTCAAACTTGACCCAATAAGCTTAAAACCGCTTTTTCTAAAATTTGGCCGATATTTATTGGCCGCAATGGCCCCCGACATACCCGATATTTTCCGACATATCCCCGACATGACCTCAAAAACGCAATACGCATTGAAATGAATGATATCGTGACGGCTAGGGTATAAAACCGCCATATGGCATAAAACACTGGTACATGTACACAATATTGAATAACAAAAAATTATATTCATATCCAACACAATCTAATTATATTCCAATATCAAATCCCTTTATATTCAAATAATACATTCACCAAAATAGTAGAGAGATACATAAATTGTTTACAAACTTTTCTACTACAAGCTTGTAGAAGTGAACTATGTCTTGGCATTTCGACTTGAAAATTTCAAGTTTCAATTAAAGGATATATATATGATACAGTAGCATGGATTTGATTGGCATACGTATATATCCGTATTCTCAGTATAAACTCTGAGACTTCTGCCCACCATTGTGTACAACAGCAATCGTCTCGTCAAGCTTTGACTGGTTATTTCCATTGAGACCAAGGCCAAATTGGATGTGAGGAAAATGTGCCCACTGAAAAATGAGAAGAAAATGGACATGAGGGGAAAATCCATGCTCGGAACTACATTAGCTTGAAAAGAATTTATGCATATCATACAATCACACACGTGTGTTTGTGAGATTTTCAGCAAATTTATGTGATGAGTCAAACTTTTTTGATGAATCTATATTCAAACTGGCTTAATTTAGTTAGTCCAAGTTATAGCATGAAGTGCATTGGATTGGCAATTATGTTTTAACCTATGAAAGAAATAATACACAAGGAAAATATGTAAATCAGTTATAATTAAATGGTTTAAATCACATGGGCATATCATTTCAGATGATTATGTGAATAGGAAGGTTCATTTGATCAAACTCCTTGGTCCTTAAATAGATAGAATTTTGAGCAGAAAATTATTCTATACAGTAGATATTTTGAGCATATATTCTTACCTAATGAGCTATTTGGTTTTATGTGTTCCTTTGAGTTAAGAGTGCAACTTTCCTCAAAAAAGATATCAACTTTCTTCTTCTGTAGAATATTAATGTTAGTCTAGAAAATTAGGGTACCCATAAGGTTATTGATTTTATGAGCTTAATTAAACTCAACGAGAATAAGGATAATGCTTGATCAAGCGCATTATGTTCTGAAATTAAGTAACATATAAAACCTGATCCACAATGAATGTGTATATAATTTTTATACTTGTGTCTTCCTGAGTGTAACATAAGGACACAAGCAATGCATCAATATATGTACAAACTGGTCCATAAAAAAAACCCTTTATAAAAGATGGTGATTTTCTACTAGTCGAGACAGAAGGAAAGACAAAGAACTAAGAGGATTTTAACAATGATGAGAATCAAGAAATAAGTATGAGCAATCACCTTGACAACAAGAAGTGGATTGTGCTCCACTGTCAACAAAAACCTGAAAGGTAGAAAGAGCACTTAAGTACTAACAATTGAAGACAAGTAGCTCTGAGGATTGTGCTCCAGTATATGTAGATAATATAAAATTAAAACTTGAAGACAAATAGCTCTGAGGAGTGTACCTGATGCTGATAGCTCAACGTTAGCTGTGAACTTGGAAACACATCAAGTGAGGAAACAATTGAAGCAAGTCTCGACGGCTCCTCCTCTGTCAAACATTTAGATGAAAATGAAATTTATTATCTTTTCTCTCTACAAAGTAATATTAAAAACAAATTGAAGATATGTGAAATAACTAGCTTGACCTTAATGCCAGTACAACCATTTACATCATGTAGAACCCCGTATTTTGTTAGAAGTATATGTGAATTATTAGTGTATAAATAATTCTATTTGTGATAAATGACTTGAGGTCATAGATATACTTGGTAACAAGTTGTTAGACATGTATGAGTGTGGTTTCATAGAGTTTCGTGCATTGGTTTTGGTTGAATAACAAAACATGTACGAAAATCTGGATATAGTGTCTACTCAGTCGACTTATGAGTCGACTCATGAGTCAACTAATGAGTCGACTGATGAGTCAACCTATGAGTCGACTGACGGGCTAATTTCGGGTTTTGTTTTAGTTGCGGGTTTGGTTGGGTCTTGTTCGGGTTTTAACCGTAATATATATATATATATTATTTTACCTGAAACCAACCCAAAAACCCATCAGAATCCCAGAGAAACCCTAGCCCCTCTCTCCCCTCAAACCCTAGTTCGTTTTGGTGATTTTGGAGGAGTTTCGGAGGAGTTTTCAGCGGGATCTTTGTGGTGCTATCGAAGGGGATCGTCCTCTCATCGGATTCAGGAGTTTACAGCACATCAAAGGCGAGTAACATCTTGCCCAATCCTACACCCACTGTTTGTATGCTTTTATTTGGTTTTATTCAGGTTTTATTGAGCCTAAATCACTATTTGTGTATAAAAATAGATCTTTATAGTATATGATGCAAAAATCGAATGTTTCCAGTTTATAAAAGCTCACAAACAAATTTGTAAATTTAGATCCAGATCTGGAATTTGTTTAAACATGGGTTTTATTGTGATTTAATGGTTTCAATACATTTTTAAACATGAATAAATATGTTTAGGGTTTTAATATAAAATATTACATGTAAAGCTTTCGTTTCTGTTGATATACATGTGCTAGAATCGGAAATATATTGCTGGACATGATTAAAGAGAGCTTTAGTTAACGTTTTTGGAGATAATCATCGAAAGTAGAAAACTGGAGATTTTCTTCTCAGTCGACCAATGAGTCGACTCATGGGTCGACTTATGAGTCGACTGATGAGTCGACCAATGAGTCGACTGATGGGGATAAATTTTAGTTTTGTGTTTTGTCTGGTCGACTTATGAGTCGACTGATGAGTCGACCAATAAGTCGACAGATGAGGCGTTTTCTTCTTTTGTATTTCTTCAGTTTTGAATCTGTTTGAGTTATTTTAGTTTAACTGAAATTGTTTATGTTTGTTTATTATTGTTGTGTGCGTAAATATGAACGAGGAGTCACCTCGAATGACGGGTATTAGAAACTAATGTACAACCTGTATCTTTACATGTGAGACGTCATGCGAACATGAGTTTAGGTTTCCGCACCGAGACACGTGAGAAATTAGGGTATGTGCACCTGTTCATATAACTCATCTAGTCCATGTGTTGGGCAGTTGTGATGTGTAGTCCATGTGTTGGACACTTATCACTTTCAGTCCATGTGTTGGACAGTTTACATATGCAGTCCATGTGTTGGACATCCACTACATCAGTTTAGACCTTAAGAGTTAACACCTATACTGCATAGGCTGGAAACGACACTTATATGAGTTGCGACACGACACCGTAATTTAGTCTGGGATGAGTTTGCCTTCTTCTATTAATGTTCTTGTATTAGATTTTGGGTTTGGTATTTAGGGATGTACAATTTGAGATACAAGGTATATACACTTATGTTCTGAGATTAGTTGTATTTCTTTTATTATTGTTCCTGTACTAGAACCTCGGGTTTGGTGTTTAGGGATTTACAATTTGAGATACAAGGTATATATATGAGGGTTTCCTTGTTTGGATTATTTTGCTCGACGTACTTATGCTCATGTTGTAATTACCTAAATAGGATTTTGTGATTATATATATATACATATGTTATAACTGTATTTTCTATATACAACGAGCCCTTTCTCCTTGGAGTTGGTTGTGATGTTGCTCGCTAGCGCTTTGACGCTCGTTGTCCCTCCCCCTTTTAGGTAACGAGCCAGGAGCCTGGAGAGTCGCAGGTTGATGGCGAGGCACTCTAGCTTCAGCTATTCTATTATAGTTATATTTTATTTTTGAGCTCCACTGTAGGATTTTGTTAGACATTTTGAGAGTTAGGTCTAGAAGTTGTAAAGGCTATATGCCTTATTTCCTCTTTTTCAGACTTTATGTATTTGAGACTTGTTGAGGAGTTCCAGTTTATTCATTCCAGATATTGACTTGTATTTTAGTATGTTAGATGATGAAATAGTAATCTGATCTCTATTATTTCATTAGTAGACTCTTGTGTTATCTTTTACTTGCTTTTGTACCTACACCTGTTATTGACTCTACTAGAGAGATAGTAATTATGATGGTGAAACATATTATTGCACGACGTGGTGTATGGCAGGTTTGACATTCTTGGTTTTACCTTGGATTGTAGCCTTGTGTGAACCCAGAGGCGTCATAGTTGGTATCAGAGCTCTAGTTCCAGTATCCTTAGGATCATCCTGTGTCGAGTCGTGGAGCTAGGATAGAGTTTCTTAGGATTCATGTATAGAGTCCGTAAGGATTCCCTAGTATGAGTGAGGACGATATATGCGTATATCTCAAAATTTAAGAATATTTTTTTTATGACAACTATTTTGTGTAAACTTAAAGTATTTGGGTGAATATTAAATTGTTGTGAAAATCATATTGTGATATGCTATGTACGCGTATATGTCTATTGGTACTCATAAACCCTTGTTTTTCTTATGATCAGAGAGATGGCAGGACGTGGTAGACCTCGTACTCGGAGAGCTGGACAGGCAGAGTCATAGCAGGCTCCACCTGAGGCTCCACCGGAGCCACAGCAGGCACCACCCGAGCTGCAGCAGGCTCCCCAGTACCTTATTGATCTCATGGCTCCCATCGTAGCTAGGATGGTAGCAATTGAGGAGCTCGTAGCGAGTCATATCACGCCACCGATACCACCATCACCACCAGCAGATCAGCCGCAGAGGATACCAGCAGTTCCTATCAGTGAGAGACCACCAGAGGCCGCACCTGTAGTTATTCCAACAGTAGTCCCAGACAGAGCCACAGAGCAGGAGGCTTGGCTCCGTATGGTTGAGAGGTATCAAAAGATGAGAGCACCAGAGTTCCAGGGGTCAGCAGATCCTCTTGCAGCCCATAAGTGGAAGGAGGATGTGAGTAATATCCTTGATATACTTAATGTGGATTCAGTCCAGAAGCAGAGATTGGCATCTTACAGTCTGAAGGGAGACGCTGGGAGATGGTATAGGCTTCAGTTCACTCTAGAGCACCGGATGACCCTCACCTGGGAGGACTTTGTTTATTTCTTTGATGGGTAGTATATTTCTTCTGCAACACGGACTGAGAAGGAGCTTGAGTTGTCCTGGCTGACTCAGGGGGATATGTCAGTGGCAGATTTTGAGAGCAGATTTATGGAGTTACTGCACTTCACGGGCATGTGGCAGATAGGAGAGCGACATGCTCAGATGTTCCTAGCAGGGCTTCGCCCTAATCTCCGTCGTTACCTCGTCTCGAGGAAGTTCTTCTCAGTTCAGGAGGTAGCTGAGGCCTCCACTTCTCAGGAGATTGAGACTGCCATGTTCTAAAAAGATAAAGAAGGGAAGATCAAGGCAGGATAGACCGGGGATAAGGGGAAGAACAAGAGACCCTTTTCTGGATCCCAGCAGCAGCAGCAAGGTTCTCATAAGAAGGAACCCCAGCATGATCAGAGAGCGCATCAACAGCGCAAGTTCTAGGGAGTTTGCTATAACTGCCGCAAGGTCTTAATTGGCATTTAATCGGATTAGATTAGCATAAGACCCTAATCACCCCCCTCTAGGGTCTAACACATATGTTGGACACTTATCACTTTCAGTTCATGTGTTGGACCGTTTACATATGCAGTCCATGTGTTGGACATCCACTACATCAGTTTAGACCTTGAGAGTTAACACCTATACTTGCATAGGCTAGACACGATATTTATACGAGTTGTAACACGACACCATAATTAAGTCTGAGATGAGTTTGCCTTCTTTTATTAATATTTCTTGTATTAGATTTTGAGTTTGGTATTTAGGGATGTACAATTTGAGATACAAGGTATATACATGAGGGTTTCCTTGTTTGGATTATTTCGCTCGACGTACCTATGCTCGTGTTGTAACTTCCTAAATACTAAAATCCTCTTATACATCGGTACTTACAATCTGAGCTACATGGTATATACATGAGGGTTTCCTTGTTTGGATTATTTCGTTCGACGTACATATGCTCACATTGTAATTACCTAAATAGGATTTGTGATTTTATATATATGTAATAACTATATTTTCTGTATACAATGAGCCATTTTCCCTTGGGGTTGGTTGTGATGTTGCTCGCTAGCGCTTTGACGCTCGTTGTCCCTCCCCTTTTAAGGTAACGAGCCAGGAGCCCAGAGAGTCGCAGGTTGATGACGAGGCACTTTAGCTTCAGCTATTCTATTATAGTTTTATTTTACTTTTGAGCTCCACTGTAGGCTTTGTTTAGTCATTTTAAGAGTTTATATCTAGAAGTTGTAAAGGCTGTGTGCCTTATTTCCTCTTTTTTAGACTTTATGCATTTGAGACTTGTCGAGAACTCTAATATATTCATTTCAGACATTGACTTATAATTCAGTATGTTAGATGATGAAATATTAATTTGATCTCTATTATTTCATCAGTTTACTCTTGTATTATCTTGATCTCTATTATTTCATCAGTTTACTCTTGTATTATCTTTTACTTGCTTTTGTACCTACACCTGTTATTTGACTCTACTAGAGAGATAGTAATTCTTTTACTTGCTTTTGTACCTACACCTGTTATTTGACTCTACTAGAGAGATAGTAATTGTGATGGTGACACATTTTATTACACGGTGTGGTGCATGTCAGGTTTGATATTCTTGGTTTTACCTTGGACTGTAGCCTTGTGTGAACTAAGTGGCGTCACAGTTGGCATTAGAGCTCTAGTTCCAGTATCCTTAGGATCATCCCGTGTCGAGTCGTGGAG